AAACTTATTTTTCTTTGTGCTTTTTTTTTTTTTTTTTTACAACAGCAAAATTATTATTATTTTTTTTAAACTAATTTACTTTTGGGACCAGATAAGTTCAAAAAACATATGCACTATTTTTTTTTAGCTGTATACAGAAAAATTTAAAGCAATAGTTCACCCAAAAATGTTGTTCCATCCAAACACATATAATTTCTTTCTTCAGACAATCATAAAAGGAGATATTAGGCAGGATGGTCACAATGCTCTTTTCTATGCTCTTTTCCATAAATGTTGAATGGTAAGAAGGTTCTGTCATGCTCCAAAATGATAAACACCATAAAAGTAATCCATATGACTTTAGGTCTATATTCCAAGTCTTTTAAAGTCTCACAACAATTTTGTGTGAGAACCAGGAAAATTGAAGTCATTATTCACTGAAAAAAACATCTTCACGGTAGTGCAGTTAAAATATGCACATGTTCAAATTTAGTATGTTATGATCTTTTATGAGAATGAGAACTGATGACGTTTGGCATTGATGACATCAAATGTGCCATATTTGAACACATGCAAATGAGATTGGTATCTCTGTCTCTTGATCAAACACAACTATTTTATGGATTCGAAAGGCTTGCAATATGCACAGACTTGCACAAGTCATATGATTTTTGGTTTTATGATTTTATTTTTGGTGAACTGTGCCTAAGATCTTCTACACACACCCCCACTCAAAGAATCACTGTTATTCATTCATGAATCGCTTCGTTTTTTCTTAGCCCTTGGGAAGTACACATTATTTTTCATCTTCTGGATATTGGCAGCTTTCTCCAACAAACAGGATCCCTCGCCACACATGGAGCTCCTCTTTCCTTGCTAGCAGGAGCTACTCACCCCTGGAGCTCACATTGTTTCTGTGAATGAGAAAACAGCCTCCAGCTGCTCTTTGATCTGTTTTGGCTGTGAAGGAAAGTCTACAGGGCTTTCATTGACTGCGTGAAATCCAGCCTGGCTGGTCCAAACATCACAAAGACCTCCTCCACATCCTAACAGCACCTCGGTTTGTGTCATCATTAAGCATGGCATATTTATTCCTCCAGTCTGAGAGTCATAGAGAGAGCTGATGCATTAACAAGTGTCTTGCATTGGGAGAATTCTGTGAAGTCTGTGATATAAAATAGAACAAGCATTGGCACAATGAGTACTAATGGAATCGTTTCAGCAGTTCTGATTGTGGCAAACTGATGCATGAATGTCCATTTTCTCAAGAGGACTGATTCAGTCTGAGAGTGTGGTAGCGGTGAGGCACAGTAACCACAGAAAATCAAGCAAATCGCTCCGAATATGTTCACCGCATGGACAAGTGCCTCATTTTGGAATGAGTGCTTGGATGTTCAAAGAAACTCTCCTCCATTCTGTGAATCAGACCATACTAAAGAGCTCATTTTTATTGTGGCCACATTTGAACTGAACCAAAATAGCGAAACCTGCAATTTTAAGCACTTTTGTGTACTTGGAGACAAGTGAGCGTGTAGCATTTTGAGCACACATTAGCACTGTGAAACTTACTTCTTTTCCGGCCTGTCAGTTAAATTAGTGGGAGAATTGATTTGGCGGAAATTATTCCTTGAAGACCAGTTGCAAATTGTATGAAATTGCTCCTTTCAGGTGAACTTTTCTCATTACCTCAACAAGGTAGTTTTTTAAGTGAATGCACCAAAGATGGCCTTGGCTATGAATAATGGAGATCAATACATGGTCATGCTACATTTCGTGCAGTAGATTTAGCCTTGGGAGAAATATTTGGCAGTTATGAAATTTTCCGTCTATGCCGCTGTTAACAAGACCTGAATTGATCAGACTGTTAAACGCATGCCGGTCTCATTAAGAAGTGTGGGCAGGGATGATACATCAGGTTCCAGGCGGTAATGGAAGCGGCGATCCATACAGGAGCTTGTAAACTATTAGTTCTAGAAAAAGTCATGTCAGATTTATGTTGCTGTATGAACCATTTTAGACTGGCCTAGGAAGAATGTCTGTATTTCTTTTGGAATAATAGTAGTGACAAAGGGCTCATGGTCCAATCCCATAACTTCACAGCGCATTTATACACCCCAAATGATGGGGCTGGCACATGTTAACCAGCCAACCCTTGACTTTTTGTTTGAGCCTCATCTGAGTTCAAAGGTACGCACAGTAGCTTCAGTCTTCTAAGAAAGTCTGTCCGGATGTCCCCAAAAACATTCAAAATGTTAGGCTACCATTTTATTCTGTTTGCCCATCTGTTGGCGGCTGCATTTGCGATTATGACAACCCACATCCCACTCTAGAATTAGGATGTCATTCATGAGGACAGAATATAGTGGGAATGAGGGAAAAAACAGACCTGAGCATGATGGTCCATGAGACGGTCAATGACAGTTAATTGGCTTGGACATGACAAATTGCCTTCCATGAAAGTGAGATTGTATTAAATGACATACTCGAGCCACTGTATCTCAGGGGAATGCATACGTTTTGTGAGCAAAGGTAAACATTTCTCGGGGGAACTGAAAAATTTGTACAAGTAAAAGCAAAAAAAAAATCGATTTTTTTTTTTAACCATCACCCTGTCCCTTTAGGGGCTCCATAGAAAATAGTTGTGCTGCTTGATATGCACGTGCAACATCTTTTTACAAGATTCTCTGAATAGAAATTTCGCAAACAATCATTTGAAATAGAAGCGTTTTGTTACTTTAATGTCATTGTTGTCACTTTACTATCATTGTCACTTGTCAAAGTTGTCACTTGACACATTGTCAATGCATCCTTGCTGTGTATAAGTATTAATTTCGTTCAAAACAAAAAAGTGTGTATGTATTTCAAAGTCCTTGTGTCGTTTTCTACTCTTTAGGGTGCCAGTGCTAAGCCTGTGGTGTCATTTATTGCTGGCTTGACGGCCCCTCCTGGAAGGAGAATGGGGCACGCAGGAGCCATCATTGCCGGAGGCAAAGGGGGTGCCAAAGAGAAGATCGCCGCCCTGCAGTCAGCTGGAGTCATCGTCAGCATGTCTCCGGCTCAGCTGGGCAGCACCATGTACAAGGTGAGACCGTTTTTTCTGAGTGTGAGTTGTAACTCAGAGGCAGAGTCACCACAGAGATGCCACCTCCTGTTTTACCTCACTAAATGCTCAACGCTGTTTTTCGTTCTGCAAACTCAAACATGCTGAGAGCAAGCATTAAAGAAATTCTTTTTAGTAAAAAAAAAAAAAAGATTATTTTTTTGTCTTAGTTTAAAGTCTCACAGTGATGTCAGTTTGCTGATAACTCTTTTTAAAGTACATTTATTGGTTTGTGTGGCTGTAACGGCTCTGGAAAATTCAGTGTTCTGTGGGCCAAACCAGTGACTAATATAAAGGGCCCCCTTAGACAATCACAGCAGTTTTTACCGTAAGATATTCAATAGAAAGCTAGACCGCAAGAGAGGAAATGAACAAAGCTCCATTTATATTGGTGAGTTAGCAGTTCTGCCTCCTTTATCTCAATATATCACAGCCAGGAGTTTTAACAAGATGTATACAAAGTGAAAGCGTGTATTACACTCATTCATCATTTTAGCCTTTCATTATCAGCGCTAGCAAACGCTCCTTCCTCTGCATCAATACCATTTTCTCTCCTCTTCCACCACACCCCTGGATTCTAATTTGTAATCATTGGAAGTAATGATGAAAAACACTCTGGCTGGTTGTTAATTTTGCAGCCCATACATCTGTGTTTATCTCATTGGTCGATTTAATAATGATGGCACATACACACGCCTCAAAGTTGATTGTGTGTTTCCCCGCTTCGCCTCCATGTTAACACTCACACATACGAAGGCAACTCACTCACTGTACCTGCCCCAGTCCCAACCTGAACGTTAACCCTTTATCTCCCAGTATTCTTTGTGTTTATGCCTGGATGATATAGCCAAAAACATTTAGCAGCTTTTTCCACTCTATTGTCTATTTTTTTATTTGTGCTGAAACTTTCAGATAGAACAACCGATAGATAGTTTTTTTTTTTCTTAAAGATATTAATGCTTTTATTCAGCAAGGACACATTTAAATTGATCAAAAGTGACAGTAAAGACATTTAAAATATTACAAAAGATTCTTATTTCAAGCAAACTTTTTTTTGAACTTGGGAAAAACAAATCCTGAAATCCTGAAGATCATGGTTTCCACAGAAATATAAAGCAGCACACATGTTTTCAACCTTTTTAATATTTAGCGGCAAATCAGCATATTAGAATGATTTCTGAAGGATCATGTGACACTGAAGACTGGAGTAATGATGCTGAAAATTCAGCTTTGCCATCACAAGAATAAATTACATTTTAAAATATATTAATATATACTATTTCACAATATTACTGTTTTTACTATGTATTTGAAGAAAAACATCAAAAAAATTCAGATCCCACAGTTTTCAGCTTTAGTATGGTAATGTATTTTTAAAATAGCAGTGCAGAGTAATTTACAGCAATATTTCTGTTGTAACGAATGTAAAATGCCACACTGGGACACTGTTGTGATATTTGAGTCATGATACAAATAAACCTTTGCATCAGTGTTTTTAATATTAATTTAAACAGACAGTTATTTATTAGCTATCTGGAGTATCTATCTTAATGCTTCACAGTTTTAGAAACATTAATGACCAAAAAAATGTACACACAAATCAATATTCACAATGATGCTTAATTTATATCACAAAATCTTTGCAAATATATTGTGAATATTCAGTAAAACACCCAGCCTAATCACTAATCACACTCTCGTTCTTTTTCCACTCTCTTTTTACTAATGATGTAACCACAGCAAATACTTAATTTCTTGTGTTACTCAAGGCCATTTCCTGCAATCCGTATCATTTCAGTCTGCAGCGGACAAGGCACTGCTTGACCATTAGATGGCAATAGAGCTTCAAGTATTTTTTACAGTGCATCTTAGTTCTTTGAAACATGATATTTGCATAAAGGAATTCTCTCAGAAATGCGCCATTCCGTCACCCTTAGTTGAGGAAAATGCGTTTTCAAAAGCACAATGCATCACCCTGTAGCTGTAAGCCTTTGTAAGTTAACTATGTAAATAGCTATTCCTGAGTGGAACGATCTTCATTTGTCTTTGTATCATACAGTGCATTTCTCACAGCTTTATGTGTTTACCCACAGCTTCTGTAAATGTTTTTTTTCTTTCTTTGCAATTAACCTTAATACAGCCTCAGATCCCGAGATTCACAGAATCTTTTGTTTAATGCAGAGAGCTTTCCAGCTGTTGGAACTTCCACATTTAAAAAATCAAATATATATATATCTTTCTTTGCAAATACAGCCTCAGATCCCGAGATTCACAGAATCTTTTGTTTAATGCAGAGAGCTTTCCAGCCTTTCCAGCTGTT